AGAATAATGATCCTTTCCTCTATGCCAGGTACAATGTGAATACTCCTCACATTTCATTTTATCTAATTCTCAGTAACCTTCTGAAAGAGGTTCTGTTATTTTCGCCATTTTTCTGATGAGACCACTGAGGCCCAGAGAGGTTACATATGTGTTTAAGGCCACACAATTCATTAGAGCTAGAGGTCGGATTATGAAAACTACAACAATGGCCCTAGGAGAGAGGAACTGTGGCTCCATCCCTTTGATGGGGCTGCTGAGGTCTGAGGAGCTCTCTGATTCTGTTGCCGTAGCAAGTCCGTCATCCACATGCTTGCCCAGTATTCTCCACCAATGTCTTTATTTGAGAAAGTTCTAATTTCAACCCCCTGGAGGACTTGGATTCTGTTTAGTTGAACAACTTTCTGAAAACCCACTGGGTTTGGGATTCTGAGTCATGTGTTGGGGGAAATATATACATATAAATGTATATATAAAATAACATTTTAAAAGTTTGTGGGAGAAATGTACTATCTTTTAATTTCATTTTTTCACAACCTTTTTGAAGCCCCCTTGTGTGTATATGTGTGTGTATGTGTTTGTTATTTTATAATTTAATATATATGGGACAAGTTCTATGAGCTAATGCAATCAATTTTCTTTCTGGGGCAATCCAGTGATACCTTTTTGTAACCTGGCCATGTCGTGGTCATATGGATGCTATTGAATATACTACTTCATATCTGTTGGTTGGTGAAATGTAATACCAGAAAATCATTGGAGAGATAGCTTTCTTCTACAAATGCAGGTGTTCGGCTATGTTACTATACAGGATGAGGTAAAGTCCTGCAGTAGACTGACTGATTAACTCTTCAGTATTAACCCAAACACAACTCTTAATAGCGTGTTTCTTTTGATTTTATGACTGTCACTTTCCTAATTGAGGTAGTAGGCTATAAAGAGTTCAACTGCTGAAGTGTTAGTGTCTTGTTGGGTGGTGTGTTAGGCCGGGATGAATAGAGAAACAAATCCAGAGACATTCATGTGCATTTAAGAGAAAGCTTTATATCAAAGAGCAATTGTATATTGATAAAACATTCCAGCCCAGTCCATATCAAGTCCACAAGCCCTGTATCAGCCATATGTCTGATGCCAGTCCATAAATTCCCCTTTAGACTCATGCCGCACTTACAGTGATGTAGAATGCTGGAAGATCACAGGTCGGTGGGTGGAAAGTCTTGTGGATCCAATGGCGGTGGATGTGTCTCCAGGGTTCTGGCTGCTATCAGTGTGGCTCCATGTGGCTGGTCAACAGGAACACCTAGGCAGAAGAGTGTGACCCACCTCCAGGGAGAAAGAGAGGAAGTTCCCAGAATCCTCCTGAGAAGGCCACGCCCACAAGGAGGCATCATCAGGCTGTGACCTGATTGACAGGATAGATTCCACCTGTAGAACTATTTATCGAGTTGACATGAAATTATGTAACTACCATAATTGGCTTCCGAGAGAGGTAGCATTATGTCGGTTATGTCATACAACTAGAAGTGAAGACATGTGAATGATGTTTGTAGCTCTCGTGTTAATGCAATTGTGTGAGCATTGTCAAGTCTACTGGTCTTTCAGTTCACTCATATGCAAGACTAAATGGCAGTAAAGATCACTTTCAAAGTCATATAAGTCCTGGGAAAACCCATACAGCTGGGCTAGCTTAAGATATTAGTGTACTTTAGAGATAAATACTTTAATCTGGTTGGTCTTAGTTTTCTTGCCTTTCAAATAGGTTAATGATTCTTGACTTGTCTAATGCATAGGGCTTGCCTGAGAATCCAGGGAGGTACCAAGGACACGAGTACTTGGAATAATATAACACACCGCACGAACACACCACGATATTACTGGTATTGAAGGTTAACAGAAAGGTGTTGGGTTTCTCGCCCCAAAGAAGAAAAAAAGAAGAAGAAGGCTGGAGTTAAAAAGGAGTTTGATCCCTGTTGGGCTGTTTCCTGGAGTTTATGGAACTCCGCAGGGTAAATAGGGGCTTTGTCCTGTGGCGGGTCAGTTTCCCACAGTTGGGGCAAGGCTGCCTCCCTTTTTCTCCTGACAACACTTTATAAAACACACCCGCCACACAAAACGTGGTAATTCCTCACAGAGAAGGGAGGTTTTGAGTTACCATAACCCCTGCTTTGTTAAAAGCCCCCTTGGAATCTGAGATCTTCTCAACAGACCAGCAGACGTGCGCATGTTCTGGGTTTACAGATGCCTTATAAACGTAGCCTGACAAATCATCCCCCACGCTTCTGTGCCTCAGCTAACTGTTCTGTCTTTGGGGTTATTTTTAACTCCTACTTCTTACTTCTTTCTCTGTTCCTTTAAGGAAGTGCCACCTGAAAGGGGTCAGATGCTTGGCACCTGCTTAGGGGAAAGCGTTGAGAGAATTCTGAGGCGTCTCCAGGGGTAGGGCTGGCTTTTCCCTAAAGAATAGTCCCTTCAAAGCATCGTTGCCACATAAGGGCTTGTGTAAGGCCTCAGGCAGAAGTTGACGGCCGGCCGTCTCTTCCCCACGACAGATGGTCAAGCCTTCAATTTCAGCAAGCGATCCGCTGTGGAGAGGGCGGGCAGGGGACGCTGCCAGCATGCCAAGTGACAGGGCAGCTTAGGGTAACAGGGATCCGGTGTGTGCCCGGCATAGCTTTTGTGCTAATGATGGGCTGCTGACAGGCGCCTCGCCCTGCTCACCCCTGAGGCAGAAGATCCCCAGCTCCCTTGATTCGGTTTCTTTCTGGCAGAGTTAGCGCCTTGTTCGCTTGCCTTTCAAAATCCATTTTGGCACCAGATGGACCCTCTCATGGTGGCTAGCGGTTGTCTGATTTGAAGATGCCAGAGAGTGTGCTGACAGCTCCTTCTAACACAACTTGAGTCTGGCTGTTGGAGCTGGGCTCAACTGGCCGAAACACACAGGGGCGGTGGATAGTACCAACCAGGGGCACCAGGGATGGGGGCTTGTGGAAGGGGGATGCCAGTGCCTCCTCCTCCATCCTATTCACATTGCTCTTAGAGTGATGATGATAACATAACGGCTACTGCAGCTGCTCTGGCTGCCACGACTTTCCTTTTTCTGAATAGTGTTTCCTTGTGGCAAAATATAGATCACAGAAGATTTGCCATTTTAGTCATTTCCAAGTACACAATTTAATATTAATAATATCCATCACTACGCAACCCTTCGTAACAATTTCTTTCTAAAATGTTGTCATCGTGTAAACAGAAACTCTGTATCCATTAAGCAATGTGTTTCCATTCCCCTCACCCCCAATCTTTGGTACATTTTGGTCTCTCTAAGTCTGCCTATTCTAGACTTTTCATGTAAGAAGCTCAGGTGGTGCAAAGGTTAAAGCTTTTTCATTGCTGATTGAAAGGTTAGTGGTTTGAACCCACCAGTTGCTCTGTGGGAGACAGGTGCAGTAGTCCTGTTCAGGAAAGACTACAGCCTTGGAAACTGTGTACAGCTATTTTACCCTGTCCTATAGGATCACTAAAGGAGCCCTGGTGGTGCTGTGGGTTAAGTGTTCGGCTGGTAAACTCAAGGTCGGTGTTTCAAATCCACCATCTCTTCCGTGGGAGAGAAACGAGGCTATCTGCTGTCATAAAGATTTATAATCTTGGAACTTTACTATGAGTAAGAATCATAGTGAGTTTTAGATTCACTAAGGAGCCCGGCTGGCATAGTGAGTTACATTTTGATCTATCAGCCCTGGTGTTTGGTGGTTCAAGCTGTTAGCTGTTCTGTGGGACAAAGAAGGATCTGCCTACTCCCATAAAGATTTACAGTCTTGAAAACTGTGTGGAGCAGTCGTATTCTGTCTGAGAGGGTCGCTATGGATCAGAATCAGCTGGAGGAGGGGAGTGGGTTTGCTTGACTTCTGCTTATCAACTCAACAACAGTGGGTCTGGTTTTAAATATTTCCTATAAGTGAAATCATTTAATAGTTGTCTTTCACTTAGCATAAAGTTTTCAAGGTTCATCACATGAATCAGAATACAATTTCTTTGTATGAATTAATAATATTTCACTGTATATATACTACATTCTATTTATCCATTTTCTGTTGAAGAACGATTACTCTCATTCATATATTTGTTGTTACAGTATAATTGCTGTCATTGGTACAGGTGGCATTAATATCTTTACTCCAGTTCTTATTTAATCACAAGTGTTTTGTCTATAGTAGGAGTGGGGAATATTGTTTCTGCTAAGGGTGATTTGGATATTTATCACACCATTTATGTGCCATACAAAATTATCAACTTAAAAATTAGCCTGCTATATTTGGTCAAAAGAGGAAGCCCCTCAATGTGATGGATTAGCATAGTGGCTGCGATAACAGGCTGAAGCACAGGAACAATTGTGAGGATGACACACAGTTGGGCAATGTTTCCCTCTGTTGTGCATAGTGTTGCTATGGGTCAGAACCAACTTGATGATACCCAATAATAGCAGTGGGATAGCTAGGAGCCATGGTGGTATAGTGGTTACACAGTGAGCTTATAACCACAAGGTTGGCAGTTCAAAACCACAAGTCCCTCCACAGGAGAAAAATGAGGCTTTCTGCTCCCATAAGAGTTACAGTCTGAAACCCACAGGGGGGCAGTTCTACCCTGCCCTTTAAGGTCTCTATAAGTCAGAATTGGCTGAATGGCAGTGAGTTTGACTTTGAATGAGATAGCTGGAATTGTTTCTCTGTGGTAAAGTTTGTGATGCAAAGACTTCCTCGGGGGCTTAATATTGCAATTCTTTTTGTGAGATCTGGTGGCAGTACTGGGGATGAGTCCTTCATAAGGAAGGCCCACACTGGAAAGAACATAAAGGTGAAAGCTTACTATGAGATAGGGGCCCTAATATCATGCTATTTCTGAAAATGCAGGCAGAGAACAAAAGGCACAATGTAGACCTGCCTGACTATGCTTATTTCTCTCCTCTCCCAAGACTGAAATGCTAACCCCAGTGATTCATCTCTTCACAGGTTCTTCTTGAAGTTTTTCCTCAAATGTAACCAAAATTGCCTAAAGAATGCAGGAAACCCCCGTGACATGCGGAGATTCCAGGTAGGTCTAGTTTGTCTTTCTTCTTCTCAATGATGACATGCCTATCAGGGTAAAAGATGAAAGGCGTAGGCAGAAAGCAATATGAAGGGAGTTGTTTTCCCAGAGGGGAAGAGCAGGTGAGGCTCTTGGTCTCCTGGGATCTGCACTCTTGAAGCTACTGTTTTTATTGGGGGAGAGTTGGGACTGAACCACCTGCGTCCACTAGTTAAGAGTGACGTCCTTGGAGTCTAGTTTGGCTTCTTGAAGGGGTTCACATGCCCAACCCCCCACAGACATTGTGATGTACACCGAAACCTCTATAATGATAGATTCCTCCCCTCATTTCCATCATACACATGTAGAAAAGTGATACTAAGGAGCTTGGTGTGCTTCAGAGGTGTGTTTTGGTTTTTTTAATCCTCTCTTTCTGGTCTCTTCTCCAATCTTGGAAATCACAAGCCATAGTCACTTGTTAAAATTACATCCCTATTGTATAATACTGCTTGGCGTGATTGAACTATGGGATGATATGACATATTTATTAACTCCCAATTAATAATAAATTAAAATATTTTTAAAAGACCAAAAAAATTGCACCCCTGAAGCACAGCATATTAAGACGACATGGAGCCAGAATTCTGTCTCAGGAATGTCTTCATAAATGTTATCTGGAATCAGTCACACAGTGCCTCCGCTTAAAGCAAGAGTGGTAGGTGAACTTCATTGAAGTGTACATTTACTAAAAGGAGAGACCATGAAGACAAAGGCGTACACTTTGAAGACACAGAGTGGCATTTGGGGGTGTAGGAGTGGTTGCTGAGCTGTATATAGAATGCCTCGCAAACGTGAACGTGTGGAGAATCCCCCGGGGATCTTGTTAAATTGCAGCTGCTGATTGAGGCCTGGAGTCCCTGGGTGGTACAGGCAGTTGTGTGCTTGGCTCCTAACTGAAAAATTGGAGGTTTAGATCCACCCAGATTTCACCCCGAAGAGACTTGGTGATCTACATCTCAAATTCAGCCATTGGAAAACTGAGCACAGTCCTCCTCTGATAGAAGTAGGGTTGCCATGAATTGAAACTGAGTGGACAGTATTCTACATTTCTAACACGCTTTCAGGTGAAGTTGATGTTGTTGGCCATACTTTGAACATTAAGGTTCTAAACTAGACCCTTGTGTTGCACTAATTTAATGATTAACCTCATTGGTAGGGTCAGCGTTGGTTTCCTCATCAGAGTAATGGGAGTAACATTCCCTACATGCATGTTTGTGCATTCTCTCAGAAAGAGACATGGTGCTGAATGTTTGCTGATAGGCACATTGCATCAATTAGCTTTACATGCAGTTTGAAATGTCTCATCTCTAAGGGGCTTCTGAGCAGTATTAAGACATTTTAGCTGCGCGTTGTCTGATGAGAGAAGGGGAGGGATGAATCGGAGTGATGGTTTTTGAATGTCAAAAGCTTTCAGTGTCCAGGAATTTTGTTTTTATGGGGTGAGATGCCTTGGCTTTATGTCCTAAGAATGGGTCTCTCTACCCTTTTCTCTAACTGAGGTGGAGTGTATCTATAGATTTCTGGTTTCCTGGAAAATACTTCTTTTTTGGCTGACTTATTCCTCAAAGTGTGTAAGCTTGGCCATTCTGATACCCACACTGATTTTTGTGTTGAGTCAGCTTTGCACTCAGGTTGGAGAAACAAGTGTGATATCCCCCCTGGTGTGTTGCTCAGTGTCTTGAAACATAAGGTTCATTTAAACTTAAGTTGTTTTGTAGCTTGCTTTGGCCTTGAGATGGGCCATACATCTCTTTTGACCAAGCTTGGGGCAGAATCAAGGTGTATCTGGATGTAGAACAATCTATGCCTAATAAACATGCCCAATCAATGTGTCTCCTGCCTTATGAGGACCGTCAAAGTCGACTCTGCTGTACCTTTCAGGGGACTCAAGTTTGGGACAGACCGTGGTGGCACTTAGGGACCTGAACAATATTGTGTAAGACTTTCAGAGGTTAGATTTTCTTAGATCTGGGAAAGAAGTGGTCTGAAAGCCTTGAGTTGTAAGAAGGTAGTTCTTGTTCAAGTTGTGCAAAGCAACTTTGTGAAACTGCCTACAAAGCTTTGTTTTGTGTAGACAAATAGTAATGAGTCTACTTAATGAAGCACTTAATAGAGCACTGAGATGAAGAGGCCTGAGTTAGATTTCTGCACAGGCTGTCATCCAACTCAGTTTCCTCAACTGCAGAGTGGAGGGAGCACAACGAGTCTGCTTACTTCACAAGATCTCACAGAAAAACAACAGTGTGCATGCATACACACCTAAGTTATTGCTAAATGACAATAGACAAATGTTCACCTTTGATGAAGGTCGGTCCTTGAGATAAAGATGAATCAGTCCAGGTTTTCTCAACCTTGGCACGAGGGACATTTTGGAATGGGTGATCGCTCATTGTACAGCTCTCTGTGGACGGAGCAGTATCCTGTGCATTTCCGGATCCTTGCCAGCATCCTTAGCTAGTATCCTCGAGGGCCAGTAGAATATCACGGCCATCCCCTAATCATGACAGCCCCAAATACGTCTGGACATGGTCCAAGGTATCCTAGGGGGTTGAGAACCACTGGGTCAGTCCTTTACCGGGGGCCCTTGAAATAATCTTCAGAGAGGGTGATACCAGCCTAGAAAGAGGACCCTTTGGGCATGTGGCCTCATCGACGCAGGGTTAATACAGCTCTTCAGTCACATATTTTCTGAATCCTAATACTGTTCTTGCCTGTGATTTGGGAACTGGGTAAATTAGATCAAATGAAACTCACTGCCATCAAGTAGATCTTGCCTCAGATAGACCCCTCCCAGCTACCTTGACCACCAGAGTGAGAGCTGTGGGTGCAGAAAACCTGGTCAAATGCCTTATGGGATCGCACATACCATCTCTGTGTTTCCTTTCCCCACTCATCCTCACTTGAGAGGAGATAGAGCATCTATGGCAAAACGAATGCTGGCTCATTTTATTTGTATCTGTGTACATTTACACATATCATTTTTATACAATTAACACATGGTCTTATGCATATAGGCACCTGATTATGTATGCAGTCAGACAATGGCCCAATTGTTTAAGAGAGCTAGTGAAACCTTACAACCTGCTTACCTGTTTTTCTCTCACCACACCCCTCCAGTTTTATTTCTTTAATGAGTATTGACCACCATGTTTCTATTAGTTCATGATGTGGACCATTCCCTACAGTTTGAATCCATCTTTTCCCTCCAACCCCATGGCTATAAATTTATATGGAATTCGTTACTCATCCTCAGCAGCCCTGTACAAGGGATGCTCTTTCTATGTCCTTCTGCAAAGATGGTGTCCCCTGCTTCCTTCAGAGATCCAGAACCCTTCTTCCCTTGCAGGTGTTCCTGACATTGCTTTTCTGCTCCTGACGTCTTAATCATGATTCATGGACCAAGAGCACTTGAGTTAGGGTTTCTTACACCTTGCACCCAGAGGCAGACATAGCTAGTCAAAAGGCTGCAGGTGACTCCAGGAGCTTCAAATCAATGAAGCCCACACTGAACTCATCATCATTCTCCCTATATTTGGCCGACACTCCAAGCCGACTTGTATTTCTCTGTGCTGTCTTGGTTTACTTCCAGTTGACTTCAATGCTGGGGAGATTACTTTTAATATTTGTGTATGTATTCAATGTGTTTAATATACATGCATGTAGTTGTGTATGTCCTTGCGTGTAACGTTCTGTACATCTGTGGATATTGATGGTGATGATGATAACACAAACATTTGTTGGAGACTTACTCTGTGAGAAGCATCATGGTGAGGACTTTAGATGAATTGTATTTATTCACACAATAGCCCGGTGCTAACATGGATTATCCCCATTTTACCAAAGGGGAAACTGAGGCTTAGAGCATGTAAGCAATTTACTTACAGCCTCACGAGGAAAGTGGTCCCAGGCTCTGCTGAGAACTCCTACTGAAGTTCTCCCATCCCAGGCCTGCACAGATTAGCTCTCTGGACAGCTATCCTGAGAGGGGTCACGGAGACATTGGTTGAAGGTGTCCTAGGAACCAGACTCATCATCTCCGTGACCTGTCTCCCAGGACACTAATTGGGATGCTGATTTCAAATATTTTTCTGTTCCTGCTGCCTCTGTGGGGCAGTGCGGGAGAATGCCTTCTCAGCAGGAAGAAACACGATTCTTTACATATCAATGTGGCTTTTACCAGTTACATAGAAAACCTGAGTCTCGGAGACATCTAATTAAAAACACTCTCTCTTGCCTATTAAGTGGGCTCTCTCCCACTGCCACTGATGCTGTGGCTCTCTCCTCCCATTTGGTATGCTGGCCAAGCCAGCCCAGCCTATCTTTACACGGCTGTGCCCGAGCGAGCGTGTCTCCGCTGAACAGCAACCAGGGCCCCGTGTAGGTGACCGAGGAGGACATCAGAAAGGTTGTTGATCTCTTGACATGTAAAGACATTCTGTCAAGCAAACTCAGCCTCACAGTGGCCGAGCTTCTGCTGTGTAAACAGAGACTGCTTAATTACACAGGTCATGTCAATTAGTGTGACCTTAGCGTTTTTAAGAAATTAATCACTTTCTGCAGAACTCGGCTGTGTTCATACTTTTAAGGCAGCATGGAATGAATCTTGTAGAAAACCCGCCGTGAGGAGCTTTTTTTTTTTAAATTTACAATGGATGTTTTCTTTTGAAATCCCTAGGCTGTGGTTAGAGTAACACACTAGCTTAAATACAACAGTGGATACAGCCTTCATTCAGCCCTGGTGGGTGTAGGGAAGGGGCGGGGTGGGCGAGGGGAGCGAAGAAGTGGGGATAGAAGCAGCTCATGACACAGGGAACATTTTACTGTGACTGAAAGGAGGCTGTTTCTTCGTCTTGACACTAAAAAGATGCTAATGGCAAAGGACCGTGTTAAAACCGTGTCACGGGCATGGTTTTTAACTGACAAGAGCCAGACAATTTGAGGTTACGATTGAAATCCTGATCAATAGC